ATTAATTCATAATAATCGATTTTTACAATTTAAATAATCAATTAATTAATTTTAATCGATTTTTACAATATAAATAATCGATTAATTCATAAAAAATCGATTTTTACAATTTAAATAATCCATTAATTCATAATAATCGATTTTTACAATTTAAATAATCAATTAATTCATAATAATCGATTTTTACAATTTAAATAATCAATTAATTCATAAGAATCGATTTTTACAATATAAATAATCAATTAATTCATAATAATCGATTTTTACAACATAAATAATCGATTAAATGGTACTGACTTCGAACCACTGATCTGAATAAAATTCTAATCGATTTTTAGTAAATAAAATTCATCATCTTCTTCCTCGGGTCAGTTTTAACATTATCATTTTTAATCACCAAACTTCAATTTAATTATATAAAAATGTTCTCCAATGTTCACAGATCATTTTAGAGTAATTAATTCGTAATTTTAACAACAATTTAATTGTTTATGATTCTTGGTTCTTCAAACATGTCAAACACAAAACTCAACCAAACGACCATTTATGAACGTAGAAACGATCTATACGAACATTCTAGTCACTAGATATATCTACGGGCTTACCTCGAAGCTTATCGAAGGTTTTGAGAATTTTACGGCAAAACTTCCGGCGATGATAAGTCCCAACTCCGGCGACTTCGGTGGCCACCAACTACTGCAGCATGTTCTCCTCACTCTCAAGAAAACTTTGGTACTAAACTCATTAGTTTTTAGTGAGGAATGAGAGGGTTGATGGTGGCCTTATATAGGAAGAGAATGGGGAAGGTGACAACATTTGCTGCGTAGGATTTGCGTAGGAATGCATCCTCGATCGGCTGAGTGGAGTAGGAGGCGCCGTCCCTTATTGGGACTAATTTTGGTTCCAGTCGGGGTACACTTTTTGGTACAACTTTCTCCGAATTGAAATCCGTTTGCACCGTTGCGATCGTGCAATTAAACTCTATCTAACGATATAATTTTTATATTTATTCGTTATACTTTTTCCGACATCATATTTTTGGGTGGTTGACTTTGACAGAGTCAAAATTGGCCTTTATTCAAAAAGGTTCTCACATTTAATTCATATATTTATTTCCATGATTTATTTCAATAAATCATTTCAAAGTTCACATTATAAACAATTTTTTCATTTATTCTTAATTTGGGTCTGTACTCAGGTTCCCAATCAAGATCACACAATAAATCAACATGTTGGATTTATCTCTATAAGATTTATCCCAATTATGTTTATTGGATATCAATATATATATTATTCAAGCCCAAAGCCCAACAACAATTTATTTTAATCAAAACAAATTTTGTTTAATTGAATATTTAATTCAATAAATTTTAGGGTATATTTTGTGGCGTTACATTTCTCCCCCCTTAAAGGAATTTCGTCCTCGAAATTCTTCTAAGGCCCAATGTTCAACATTTTGTAGTGATCTCACTTAAACATGACCGTGTTATGCTCAATTGCTTAAACCATAATTCCGTCATTATCCATACGGATACGTAATCTCAAACTGTCGATCGGTTGTACAGTAGTTCGTCATTCATCGACCTTATGTTGAAACATTTCTTCATTCATCTTTATGGTAGCTCTCATTTATCGTTTAATGAGTCTTCGTACTCATAGGTGATGACGTTCGAGTAGCGTCTCATGT